AAGGAATGTCCAGTGGCTGGAACTTCCCAGACGCCCCGGTGCCCACGCCGCTGGCTGGTAACGGCAGGAGGAATATGCTCGCTCTATGAGAGGGTTCGTTTTATTTGTAATTTTCAGCTGCTTTCAACTTAATTGCACAATTTCCTCAATTATTAAAGTTCCTTCTGCATACTTAAGTTCATTAGCCATTGTCAAAGGGCAAATTACTTGGTAATTGTAATATTGGTTGGACAAAGCTGCCTTAATGGGCTCCCCTCCGAACGGCTTCTCGGCTCTTCGTGCAGGATCCACTGACCCCTGTACCCATCCAAGTCGGAAGCCGGGAGCTGTAGTCTTTTTTTTTTCTCTCCTTTTATGAATATCCCTTAACTGCTAGTGGTGGCAACCTCACCGGGGGCCCTGTTGTGTGTTTACTTCGGAAGGATGGCGTTAGGGAGGGTGGCAGTGCCCGGGAGAGTGCAGAGTCTTGCATAGACATATGGTACATGGAGAAGTCCACAGGCATGCGTGACGGGGCGTGACGGGGCAGCCTCTCAGCATGCCCATGCCCTCGGCATCCGTGTGGTCTAGTCATACATACATGATATCAACTGCAAAGACACAACCAGACCTCTGAATCATCACTTAACCGTATTCTCAGTCTAGTCGATGCTATGAACGTGTTGCTATAGACAGTACGATTCTGTACATTATACTACATGGATCATATATGCGATTTTAATTTTTCCGTAGAAGGTGACATTCTATGGTGTAATTGTGGGCACTAGAGAGCCATGGGAGGCATTCTCAATATCTCTCTCTCTCTCTCTCTCTCTCTCTCTTTTTTTCACACACACACACACACACACACACACACCAGGACGCTATTTAATACAGGTGTAGCTAGACCAGTGGTTCCCACCCTTTTTTTTGGCCGTGCCCCACCTAAGCATCTCAAAAATCCTGGTGCCCCCTGTGACATATAATTCTCATTATTCAAAAAGTGAACTATTCACGTGGAGGAAGCCTAAAAGGCCATGAACTTGGCCTAAACAAGCTTCCAAAGAACATGGCCTCCACGAAAGAGAAAAATAAAAGAACGAAAGGACAGTTGACGAACTGAGGAAGATATCACTAAGAATTTGTTATAAAAAATAATAATATGAAGTGACAGGAACAAATAGCAAATAAAGTTTCAAAACGTAATAGAGACCTGAAATGCATAAATATGTCACAATATATATTTATAGACTGTAAATGAGGCCCCTAGAACCATAAGACATGCAAAAATTTCGCTATTAATAACTCATTCTCGAATTGCCCCCCTTAAACATCACATTGCCCTCTGTGGGGCGCGTGCCCACATTGAGAACCACTGAGTGAGACTCTATTTAGATACACGCAGGTGCCCTTGTGCCAGGAACGCCACTCCCTGGTGGTTCTGCCCCTCGCGGTTACGAAGCCTCGCCCCACCTCGCCTGTGATGAATGAAGACCCACTCGCTCCCTGCTCCAGATGCAGGACTCGGTGAGCATCCTCTCGCGGGGGGAGGCGGTTCCTGAAACGTGTCAGGTTTGCTCTAGGACAGCACACCCACCCCCCCAAACCTGCCTGGCCTCTGTCTGTCTCTGGTGCACATGGTCTCACTCCGAAATGTGTGGGCGCAGAGAGGGCCCGCCTGGAGGAGGGGACCCTGCCCGCGAGGCCTCTCTGCCCAGGCGTTAGGCTTGCGCTTCTGCGTTATTAGCTCCAGGACAACGCTCTGCCTGTCACCAGGGGGACGAACAGACGGAGCCTCTCTGATTTGGAAACCCGACAGATAAAGTGACAAAGTGGGAGGAAGTGACGCTAAGGCGACTTGTGTTAGGACAAGGCGGCCAGTCACTGACACGCCAGCTTCTCAGCCGTTGGGCCAGGGCCTCGGGGTGCACATTGCAGGTGCGGACGCCGCTGCCAGGAGCAAGCCCAGCACCCCTGCTGTGTTCCGGAAGCCGCCACGAGAGGCGGGTGCTGGCAGGGTGCTAGGAAGGATGGATCCGGGTGTTTAAAGCCAGGGTGACTCTCCCAAAGCCCCCACTTCATGGCCTCCCCCCTCGGTCAGAAGGAATTTTTCCCTGTGAAACGTGCCCGTGAATCAGGTTTCTCTCTTCCCAGAAGCGTCTCAACAGGTCGCTGTGGTCACCACCCACAGGGCAGGTTTGCTTGTACGCTGGGTAAAGGCAGGGCCCGTCTCCCGAGGAAAACCATGCACAGGCCTCCTGTGAGACTGAAACGACCCAAGGAAAGAAAATGCAATTGA